ACGCTCCTCAAAATCCTTGGGTCATCCTCACTGCTGGACGGGCCTACCAGTCATACTCGTTGGCCTGTCGGGGGTGGTGACCTGGGACCTGCTCACCTCTTTGAGCCGTCCCCCACCACCAACCCCTCTCCGGTGCCACCTGTAGCTGCTCCGTGCCCACCGCCCTTCCACACCTGCCTCTCTGCCTGGGATCCCCACCTCTGCAGACTGGAGCGCTGGGACAGGAGAATCTCCTGTTAGAGGTTACGTGCTCCACCTGGTCCGTAGAGTCCTCTCAATGCTCTGGGCTGATAAGGGTCTGGAATTTTCTCTGGTCATTACTTTCTGTCTTTCCTGGTAGAGGGGGATGGGGAGACCATTATAAATTTCTGTCCCGCTATTAGGCAGATGGGGAGGGGGGCAGAGAGCTTTTCTTATATCTGCCATATAATTGCTTTAAGCTCAAAATAATCCTTATGCTAAAGAAGCAGATTTTGGGGGTGGCGTAGCTGCTGCTCTCCCATAGAGGAGCGATGGGGCTGGGGTATCCTGACGTGGAGAGAGGAGTTGGAGCCCAGACAGGGTGGATTCATTTAGAAACCTTTAGGGGAAGAGTCAGCAGGATTTAGTACGGGGGAGAGGACTACGCAGTGGTCCAGACATCCCCAAGAGAGTGGCCAGCAGAGGGCTGTAGGGAAGAGGCTGGATTTCAGGGCCACAGGTGGAAAACTTGGCCGCTGCTGACGATGAAGCACGAATAAGTGAGGAGAGAGGATGGAGCCTGGGACAGAATGAACCTCCACCCAAACCCAGTTAAAGATGCCGGGAAAGAGGCAGAAAAACACCTGCCAGGGAGAAGGCTGGGGGAGCTCCGAGGTCAGGAAGCTTCGGGAAGCTCCTCCAGGGGGCTCGGACTTGGGCTGCCGGCAGCTTCAGCTTATCACCTCCAGGCCTGGTGCTCCCGACGCCGCTTAGGAGACCCCGGAGGTGGGGAGCACCTTCCTGCTGAGGAGCCGGGCCTGGCTGCTCAGAGGTGCTGTTCCCAAACCTACTGCTCTCCCACGAGAGGCTCACCCGTGCCCTCTGTCCCTCGTGCTGCCAGGCCGGGGGAACCGTGCACGCCCAGAAAGCACAACGTTCTGGCTCCGCAAGGCAACTCGGGGTTGTGACCCGCTTTCAGTTGGGGTGCGGTTCTGGTTCCCCGTTCTCCCCCAGCAGCCAGGCGTGGGGCTTACCTGTTCAGCTGTGCTTCTCTCAGGCTTATTTCAGATGTGTATGCTCATTAACGGTCCCCATCCTTTTCCGCTTGCTTTAAGGAAGTTCCGAATGCGTGAGGCTTCTTATTGACGTGGGGGCCAATCTGGAAGCACACGACTGCCACTTCGGGACCCCTCTTCACGTCGCCTGTGCCCGGGAGCATCTGGACTGCGTCAAAGTGCTGCTTAACGCAGGTGTGCTGGCGCCTGCTGCCGCTGGCGTGTCGGTATTTATGCGGCGCAGGCGTGGTGGGCTTACACCCGTGGTGCTCGGTGTGGGGTGTTGCATTTATAGGCGTGCTCCTCAGTGCAGGTGTGCTGTGTTTACTCCTGCTCTTCAGGGCAGGTGTGCAAGTCCATTGGCTTTTATGGCTGGTCTCCTCAGGGCAGGTGTGTCCTGTTTCTGCCTGCCCTGCTTGGTGCAGGGGTGTTGGTGATCGTATCCGCCCTGCTCGGCACAGGTGTTCTGTTTACCTGCACCGTGCGCTGGCCGAGCACTGGGCGGTGGACTCAGACCAGGTTGGAAGTTGGCTCTCCCTCTTGCCAGCCGAGACCGTGGGCCTCAGTTTCTGTATCTATACAACTGGAAAAGGAAACCTTATTTTGGAGGGTTGTCAGAAGGATTTGTGATCACGTTTCTGCAGGGCCTGATGCTGAGTGAATGCTAATCGTTATTTTTGGTGGCCTCGGGACCATCCCCAAGACCTGCCTAATTCGATCGCCATCTAAATTTTTTTTAATGTTTATTTATTATTGAGTGAGATAGAGTGTGAGTGGGGGAGGGGCAGAGAGAGAGTGGGAGACACAGAATCCGAAGCAGGCTCCAGGCTCCGAGCTGTCAGCACAGGG